TATTATGAGGCTAGCCCATCACTGGATGCAGCTTCAGGGACCATCACACCATCAGCATGATCATCACTTGTGTCAGTTAGCATGTCAGTTGTTTAACAAGGCCTAACGTGACTGTATACAACCAGTGGTTCACATGACATCACATGCAAACTGCGACAGTGCACGTCATTACACCGGGGTTAACAACTGCTCTTCACTTCCAGTCTGAGGGCTTATCGTCGCTTCTGTCAGCGAGCACAACATGCTAGTTTAGTCCACAGGGGTTTGGTTACTATGTGGGCGACAGAGATCAACAAACAGCGTATCACATGACACGCCTTCCTCAGATTTCATGAAATTTCGTGCCACGGCTTGTCACAAAGAGCCCGAACATATGACAGTGACGGATTCTCGTCCGGACAGAAACTGTGACGATGTTTACTAAGAATGCTAATTAGTCCCCAACTCAGCTGGGTCCGAAGCATGACGGCCTCGTCCCGACAACCTGCGCACCTCAATGACAGTCAGATTTAAAGAAGCCCAGCGGTGACGCTTTCTCCGCTGTCAAGTGTTGTTTACCTTCCTCACGCCTTTGTAGATGTAAAAGTACAGTTCCCGGCCCACATTAAAACAGATCCTGTCCCCGTTTCCGGACTGGTCGTTTACGTTGACGAAGGAGACCTTGACGGGGTTGGAGCCCTGCGAGTTGAAGGGCACCCGGTTCGGGCGGCTGTACTCGGAGTGCGTGAGGAGCTTGTAGACGCCTTCCCGGGTGGTAAACTGAGTTTTAATTTCGTTCGTCTCCTTCCCTCCTCCCTCCGCTGCCATCTTGGAAGTTGGCGTTCATCCTTGTCCAAGGCCCCGGATGTTACACACAGCGCATGCGCGGGACTTAGAAGCTTAGCCATGCGTACAAAGCATAAACAAAACCAGAAGAAGAAAACAAGAAAAGTATATATCGCAGGTATTAAATATTCAATTTTTGTTAATATATCACTGCAAATACGTTAGTATGTTGCCAATCATTTTATATACTTTAAAACTTGCAAAAAAAATGAAAATAGCAAACCACTTTTATGGCAGTTAAATTGAATTTATTCTCGCTAGACAGGAACATATACCCAAAGTATTCAGAGCATTTAATGGGTAATTACTGGGTTATAAAACGTTTGCAGCCCGCTGTAAGAAAGCCCATTTTCATCACTGGAAAATAAAATTAAAATGGTTTAATTGTCATATGATATGCGAAGTCATGAGTTTCAAAGTCACAAGTGAATACAACGTTTTAATTTCTAGCTTTTTATTTTATAATTGATTTTTGAAACTTGTGATTCTCATTTTGCATCCTAACTATGCCTTTGAAACTCATAGTTATGATTTTTTTCTCTCATAATTTTCACTTTTAAACTCTATAGCTAGAACTCTACTATAATTGTGACATCTGTTTGACATTTTTCAGGGTTAAATGGTTCATGCAGCTGCTTACAAACTAATAAAAATAGCAGTTTTTAGATTTTTAAACAAGAGATGTAGAAGAAAACACCAAAACAAACAAGAAACTAGCACCTCTTAAAATTACATTCCAGAAACACCAATTTCTGTTTCACCGTATCTTTAATATTTGATTTAACAGTGAGTGCAACAGTGCTTCATGTTTCAGAAATACACAAAGTCAGCTTCTAGTAACAACTGGACACGTTTGGATTATGCAATAGAGACCAGGCAAGTGAAAAATACTGCCATCTTCTGATCATTTGAAGTCATTAAGGTTCACTAGACAATAACAGTATCAACAAAATGTTGTGTCATTTTTCCATGTTTAATAGAAGCATTTTCAATGTGTAGTTAACATGCTTCACCTCCTATGGTGTCTAATCAACATAGGGTGAGTTCAGTCTACATATGGGGATGTGAAAATATTCCAGCATGTCCATATTTTTCCCGAGCTATATTACATAAATCTGCCCACATTTCAGTTCAACTCGTTCTGGAGTTAAAAACACAATCATGACACTGTGATCCACTTTCCATTCTCATTAATGCAATGTGTTCAGATTAAACTGTGTATTTCAGTCGAAATCGATGCTACTTTGATCCACTTTACTATGATCCTAACCCCAGGGGTCTAAATGAGGCCACACAGTTTTGTTCCTGATATTGCTGTTATTAAAATAAAAAAATAATAAAAAGAAGTTGGAACGCTCCACAAAAATATTAAAACGTGACCTGGCTGCTTCTGTGTCAGTGTGAAGGGCAACTGTCTTAGCTTATCTAAAATATACAATAAAATATGTAGTCTGCTAAACTGCCTTAAATAAGCCACAGATTTAGCTAATTTTGCACACCCCCACCCATCCACCTAAAACCCTGCTGTCCATTACTTTTCAGTTTGGGCGAGTTCCTGGAGATGACCAACAGCAGGTGATGGCAAAAGCAGTGCACAGCTGTGACGCTCACAGGGGCGTGCAGGGCCCAGCAGCCAGACAAGCTATCAGTAAGGCTCCTGCAGTGAGTGACAGGCACTCCTTGTGACTCTGCAGCCCTATAAGGGCACATGAACTTCAGGGGTATCTCTCTTGCAACCCCCCCTTCTCGGTCTTTCCTTAACACCTCTCCCTCACTGTGGTGAACATGTCTTCTGGAAGCTTCTGAAGAGGAGCTTCGAGAAACCCACCCCTGAAGTATAAAAAGACGCCGGCACGGCCTTGGGTCTGCATAGACTCACAAAGGAACTCACTTAAATGCACCAACGAGAGATTTAACTGCTCACCGGACACACATTTTGAAGCTCTGCGAAAAAAGAAAAGAAGATAAGAGATTTGTTTGACGATTAATCTGAAGAAGTGACAAAGATTACCATCAAGGTAAGACTGTAGCAGCTATCTTTTTTTAAATTTCAGCGTTATTCAGTAATGGACCATACACAAGTACTATTGTGACTGTACAAAGAACTTTAAACAAAAGTAAGTGAAAGTTATTACTGTGTTCAGTAGAAATCTTTGTACAATGGCAGAGCAGCCTTTACCTCATGTGAGAGTACAATGTGGAAGGAGCACATGGCAGGGAGGGTGACCCTGAGCCAGAAACGAGCAACCATAGAGCAGGAAAACCAGTAGACACATCTTAAAGAAAAAATATGAAATTATACTTATATATATCTAGTTTAAACTTTGGGTAAATTGTATTTTTGTATTTAGCAAAAATACATTTAAACACCAGCTTAATTGTCATAAAAAACTGAAGATACAGTTAATTTTATTTTCAAGTTGCACTCTTCTACTTTCTTTTTTTAAACCGTCATGGCATTAAAGCCACTGGGTGAGGGTTGGGGCAAGTGGCGTTTAAGCATCAGAGCTCCAACCAGTTGCCCACGTTTTGATTGACAGTTGCAACATTTGTTCATGGAGTCGACCACATGTGAGCCATGTGGCCAAAAAGTCTGGAATATATATATTTTAAAAAAAGTTGAATTTGAAAATATTGATTTAGAAATACAAACATTATTAACAATTTTGCAACAATTGCCTGCGGGATCAATAAAGTTATCTTATTAGCAAAAATGCAAAAGTAGCGTAAATAGTTAATGCAGTTTTTATCAAACCTTTTTTGCTTTGCTTTAGATGCCTGAGAATGCCGGACACGTTATGGAGGAGGAAGTGGAGACCTTTGCCTTCCAGGCTGAGATTGCTCAGCTTATGTCTCTGATCATCAACACTTTCTACTCAAACAAAGAGATCTTCCTTCGAGAGCTCATCTCCAACTCCTCAGATGTAAGAAAAAGCAACATCTGAACACAATCGCACTTTTCCTCCCTTTTTTTTTTTAAAGTAACAAACAAAAAAGGGATTTTCTTCTTCTTGACAGGCCTTAGACAAGATCAGATATGAAAGCCTGACTGACCCCAGCAAACTTGAGTCCTGCAAGGACCTTAAGATTGAAATCAGGCCTGACCTGCACGCTCGCACCCTGACCCTCTTAGACACGGGCATCGGCATGACCAAGGCCGACCTGATCAACAACCTGGGCACGATTGCCAAGTCTGGCACCAAGGCTTTCATGGAGGCTCTGCAGGCTGGAGCGGACATCTCCATGATCGGGCAGTTTGGTGTGGGTTTCTACTCGGCCTACCTGGTGGCTGAGAAGGTGACGGTCATCACAAAGCACAACGATGATGAGCAGTACGTGTGGGAGTCTGCAGCTGGTGGCTCGTTCACTGTAAAAACCGACACCGGTAAGTTTAATTCTCTTCACCGGACTCGAGTTAAATTGTTTGTGTAATACTGTTTCATTCATTATCTGACGCTGAGTTTGATGTTGATTCGATCAGGTGAGCCCCTTGGCAGAGGAACAAAAGTCATCCTGCACCTGAAAGAAGATCAGACTGAATATTGTGAGGAGAAGCGCGTTAAGGAAGTTGTGAAAAAGCACTCGCAATTTATTGGATATCCTATAACACTTTTTGTAAGTTATCATTTAGTACTTTATCCAAATTGAACTTATCATAGCCACCCATGAATGAGCAATAGAAATGCCAAATTGAATTAGATACTTATAAACCTTTTCACATGTTCCAGGTGGAGAAGACAAGAGAGAAGGAAGTGGACCTTGAGGAGGGAGAGAAAGAGGAGGAGGTGGAGAAAGAGGCTGCTGAGAACAAGGACAAGCCTAAAATTGAGGATGTGGGTTCGGACGAGGATGAAGATTCAAAAGATGGGAAGAACAAAAGGAAGCACAAGATCAAGGAAAAGTACATTGACGCTCAAGAGCTGAACAAGACGAAGCCCATCTGGACTCGCAACCCAGATGACATCACCAACGAAGAGTACGGCGAGTTTTACAAGAGTCTCACCAACGACTGGGAGGATCACCTGGCAGTCAAGGTGAGCCAGTGACACCAAAAAAAAAACCCACTCTCATTATCACTTCGGTCTGCTGTGTGCTAACAAAATTGTGCTTTTTACTTGTGTCTGCAGCATTTCTCAGTGGAGGGCCAGCTGGAGTTCCGGGCCTTGCTCTTTGTACCCAGAAGAGCTGCCTTTGACCTCTTTGAAAACAAGAAAAAGAGAAACAACATCAAGCTTTATGTGCGCAGGGTCTTCATTATGGATAACTGCGAGGAGCTGATTCCTGAGTATCTCAGTAAGTAAAACATACAAAGTTCAAGGTTCAAGTTTCTTTATTGTCATTTGCATCACATGTGGTACATGAGGTGGAACAAAATTGTGTACTCAAGGTCCCAGTTACACCCCAAAATAGCAAAAATATAAAGTCTAAAAAAGAAACAGTATACAAGGATCTAAGGGGTTCCCAACCCTGGTCCTTGAGGAACACCATCCTGCATGTTTTATTTGTTTCTCTGCTCTGACACACCTGATTTTAATTAATGGGTGATTAACAGGCTTCTGCAGAACATGAGGAAGTAATTAAATCACTGAATCAGGTGTGTTGTAGCAGGGAAACAACGAAAACATGCAGGATGGTGTTCCTCAAGGACCAGTGTTGGGAACCACTGCGCTCAACAATAATACAATATAATACGGTGTATTAAACAGCAGCCTGAACATGAGTCTTTTGTGAGCAGATGATATGAATATAGCAGCTAAAAGGCAAGAAATTAGCAGAACAGATAAAGTGACATTAAAGTGGCATAGCAGTGATTTTTCTAGTTAGGGACAGCTTCAGGGTAGAAGCTGTTCCTCAGTCTAGTGGTTTTACACTTAATTCTCTGCAACCACAGTATACGTATGTCTACTTACAAATCATCAGTCGCCCAACATTCATGATTCATAAAAGCTTGTTAAATATAAAATATATATATATTTGCCTGACTTTGGGTGTCTGAACAGTGTTTATCCTCTGTTTGCAGATTTCATCAAGGGTGTTGTGGACTCTGAGGACCTTCCTCTGAACATCTCCAGAGAGATGCTTCAGCAGAGCAAAATCCTGAAAGTGATTCGCAAGAACCTGGTCAAGAAGTGCCTGGAGCTGTTCACAGAACTGGCTGAAGACAAGGACAACTACAAGAAGCTCTACGAGCAGTTCTCCAAAAACCTCAAGGTAGTTTCACTCTTCTGAGGTAAAGCTTCCTGATAAATTTCACCTTGAGATTTCATTTTGATGACGAAGAAAAACGCATTATATTTCAGCTTGGAATTCACGAAGACTCCCAGAACAGAAAGAAGCTGTCTGAGCTGCTGCGATACTACACCTCTGCCTCTGGAGACGAGGTGGTTTCCCTTAAAGATTACGTCTCTCGCATGAAGGACAACCAGAAACACATTTATTACATCACTGGTAAGTTGCACATAAATTTTTTTTTAAATGATTTGTTAATGACATCATAATGATTACATCACTCATAATGCATTTTACAGGAGAGACCAAAGACCAGGTGGCCAACTCTGCCTTTGTGGAGCGCCTACGCAAAGCTGGCCTGGAGGTCATCTACATGATCGAGCCCATTGACGAGTACTGCGTCCAGCAGCTGAAGGAGTACGATGGGAAGAACCTGGTTTCAGTGACAAAGGAAGGCCTGGAGCTACCTGAAGATGAAGATGAGAAGAAAAAGCAGGAGGAGCTGAAGAATAAGTTTGAGAACCTCTGCAAGATAATGAAGGACATTCTCGACAAAAAAATTGAGAAGGTAACGTCTTTAATGTCCTTCTGGAAATTACAGAAGTAGTGTCTTGGTTCCATCAGTAACACTGAACCAAGTGTGGTGGAGCCTTGCAATAACTCCACATTGTATTATCCACAGGTTGTGGTTTCCAACCGCTTGGTCGCGTCCCCCTGCTGCATCGTCACTAGCACCTATGGCTGGACGGCCAACATGGAGAGGATCATGAAGTCTCAGGCACTGAGGGACAACTCCACCATGGGATACATGACGGCTAAGAAACACCTCGAGATCAACCCACTGCATCCGATCGTTGAGACGCTAAGGGAGAAGGCAGAGGCCGACAAGAACGACAAGGCTGTGAAGGACCTGGTCATCCTCCTGTTCGAGACCGCCCTGCTGTCTTCAGGATTCACACTGGAGGACCCACAGACTCACGCCAACCGCATCTACAGGATGATCAAACTGGGTCTTGGTATGTTTTATTCACCATACTACCACAAACATAGTCGTAAAAATACTAATAAATATACTTCCAGTGGGTTTTGGTTGATGATGAATGCATTATTTTTGCAGGGATCGATGATGATGAAGCTGCAGTTGAAGACAGCATTCAGCCAGCCGATGAAGACATGCCTGTCTTGGAAGGAGATGATGACACATCAAGAATGGAGGAAGTTGACTAAGATACTTTCTAGATGTTTCCAGGCTTTTCCTAATGTTTATTTTTGTAAGTTATTATTTTTTTTTCTTTAAAACATTTTATTTAACACAGCATCTATTCTTCATTGGTGTCTCAAAATATTTGTATTAATGTAAGCTATAATGTTTTTGTTTTTTTTTTGCTTTGTAATTGCTATTTATATAAAAACAAGCATTAAGAGTATTATAAAGTCATGTCTCTTTTTGTAACGATTACATTTTATATGTAAAGCTTTCAAATTTGTAATAAAATATGTTTGCAAGTAAGACTTGTATCATTTCTTCTTATTATTAGAGTTGGTAACTTTGCCAGCTTCCAACAAATAAAGGGCTTCCTGGAAATAAGGGAAGGTGCAGATTACAATATAAAAATATAATAGCTTGTAAATTTTCATAAAATTTCTTCTTATTTTTTTTTTAATGTTCTGGAATTTTCAGTGATTTCTTGTAGTTTCCACTCGCACGTTTTCTTGACCATTCCAAACCCATCCTGCCTCCGTCTACCAAAAAAGGAAAATAAGGCGTACACAAATTAAGTGATTGACAGTCTTACCAGCCTATCAGCGGTGAGTACGGAGCATCCCGCCTTCATATGCCAAAATAGGCGTATACAAACAATGATTGACAGTTCGCCTGACCTGTCAGCGGTCACCCCAGAGCTTGTAGGGAGGGCGAATTAAGACTGTTCTGGAAGCTTGGGTCGGTATCTTCTCGAACACTCTGAGATAGTATAAAACCAGCACCGAGATTTACTCATCAAATAGATTACCGCTTGAAATATCTTCCTGATTTTGCAGCGCTCGACACATTCCAGGGATTAAGGTAAATTTGTTTTCTTCATTCTTTTCTTAATGCGCAGAGACAGGTTTAAAAAAAAGGGTCTAATTTTGACGATATATTATATTAGCCAAACTGAAGCTACATTTTTTTTTTTTGCTTCTTCGTCAAGAGCGTTTATTTCATCAATGGCTAAGTTTCTGTAATTTTCAGGACATTAATCCACTGATCAATAACTTTTATGTATATGAATATTTCTGCGCCCTGAGATTTCATTATATAAATAAACTGAATAAATCATAAAGTTAGTTGTTGCAGTTAATTTCAAATTCTGGTACGATCGCTTTGATGTTCAACCACACAATGATGCTCAGTGTACCAAGTTGGTTAGCAAAGCGTACATTTTGTCAGGGTCCAAAAAAAGCTTGTACCGTCCACGCTGGTGTGTGAGAGCAGCTTTAAGCCCTGAGGAGTGGAGCTGTCATTCATCGACTCATCAGTTGGCTGGAAGAGGGCGGGGCTTCGGATTCTCCAGAAGTTGCCAGAGAGTTCTGCTCAGCATCCTGGTAGCTTCTAGAACGCTGCGCTTCGTGCTGTCCACCAGCAGGGGGCGCGCTTTCTGATCAATATACAGCACAAGGCACGCGCTTTTGATCAGGGAGGACGAAGCATTTACTGCCTAATATCCTTATTAATGATATCACAAACTTTGAAACGTGTTTTTCAATTTTATCTAGGATTGTATACGCTAATACCAAGGGACAGGTCATTAAATGCACTATTTTTTAGCTAATTTGAAATATGTGGTTTTAAATTAAAATGGCATCTTTTATGGAAGTTTTATGTTCTGAAATGTGTAAGAGCTGATCCACCAAACAGATGGCACCTTGATGCACCAAATAAGTAAATTGGAAAAAAAAAATTTAATCCACTATTTTTTTTTTCTGAGTCCCTGAGCATCAATGAGAATAATCTGTATAAATGTATAAAGAATGAATGAATTTATTTATTTTTTGTCCCAGATGCCTGAGCTACATGACCAAACGATGGAGGAGGAGACTGAGACCTTCGCATTCCAGGCTGAAATTGCTCAGCTGATGTCCCTGATCATCAATACTTTTTATTCCAACAAAGAGATCTTCCTTAGGGAGCTTATCTCCAACTCTTCAGATGTAAGTGCTATAGTTGTATATTGAAATGGTTCATGAGTGCAGTCCAGATTTAAGTGTACTCGTAGTCCTAACAAAATGTGCTTTATTCCCCATCTCCTAACAGGCTCTAGACAAAATCCGCTATGAGAGTCTCACTGACCCCTCCAAGCTTGACTCTGGCAAGGACCTCAAAATCGAAATCATACCCAACAAAGAGGAGCGCACCCTCACCTTGATTGACACGGGCATCGGCATGACCAAGGCCGACCTGATCAACAACCTGGGCACGATTGCCAAGTCTGGCACCAAGGCTTTCATGGAGGCTCTGCAGGCTGGAGCGGACATCTCCATGATCGGGCAGTTTGGTGTGGGTTTCTACTCGGCCTACCTGGTGGCTGAGAAGGTGACGGTCATCACAAAGCACAACGATGATGAGCAGTACATGTGGGAATCCTCTGCAGGGGGGTCATTCACAGTTAAACTTGACAACTGTAAGTCATTTTGAACAGTTTTGCATTTTAACAGCGCTTGTTGCAATAAGCACTAACTTGTTTATCTTCGGTGCAGCTGAACCCCTGGGACGCGGGACTAAGGTCATCCTGCACCTGAAAGAAGACCAGAGTGAGTACTTTGAAGAGAAGAGGGTCAAAGAAATTGTGAAGAAGCATTCCCAGTTCATCGGCTACCCCATTACACTCTTTGTAAGTATAAACTGAAAGTTGTGGGTTTTAGGACAAAGAGCCTTAAATCTGAATGCCAGAACAGTTTTAAGTTGTAAAGATGATAGGAAAATATATTTACATTGTAAAATACAAGTAGCTGGACCCATGATGTTCTTTAGGTGGAGAAAGAGCGGGACAAGGAGGTGAGTGACGACGAGGCTGAGGAGGAGGAGAAGGACAAGGAAGAAAAGGACAAGGAAGAGGACAAGGACGAGGACAAGCCTGAGATCGAGGACGTCGGCTCGGACGAGGAGCATGACCATGACCACGACAAGTCTTCAGACAAAAAGAAGAAGAAAAAGATCAAAGAGAAGTACATCGATCAGGAGGAGCTGAACAAGACCAAACCTCTGTGGACACGCAATCCAGATGACATCACCAACGAGGAGTACGGAGAGTTTTACAAGAGTCTAACCAACGACTGGGAGGACCACCTGGCAGTCAAGGTGAGCCTAAGTTTTTATTTTTTTTATTTTGATCTTTAATTTCTGACTAAATAAAAAAAAAATAAATTGCATTTTCTTTTTATTCCTGCAGCATTTCTCAGTCGAAGGTCAGCTGGAATTCCGCGCACTGCTCTTCGTGCCCCGGCGCGCGCCCTTTGACCTGTTCGAGAACAAGAAGAAGAAGAACAACATTAAGCTGTACGTGCGCAGAGTCTTCATCATGGACAACTGTGACGAGCTCATCCCAGAGTATCTCAGTAAGTACAGCTGACCCGCCCGGAGTCCATGCAGATTACAGGAAAGCAGATGTTTAAAGGTCTCTTCCTTTTTTTAAGACTTCATTAGAGGCGTTGTGGACTCTGAGGACCTTCCTCTGAACATCTCCAGAGAGATGCTTCAGCAGAGCAAAATCCTGAAGGTGATCCGCAAGAACCTGGTCAAGAAGTGCCTGGAGCTGTTCACAGAACTGGCTGAGGACAAGGACAACTACAAGAAGCTCTATGAGCAGTTCTCCAAGAACCTCAAGGTAGAGGCGCATTGCACCTTCTGACATATCGGGTTCAGTGTGTAGATGTTGGATCAAAGCTCTGCCTTGCATGTCTAATGACAGCTTTGACAAACGCTTGTTTTCTTTCCCTCGTTCAGCTTGGTATCCACGAAGACTCCCAGAACAGAAAGAAGCTGTCAGAACTGCTGCGGTACTACACCTCTGCCTCTGGAGACGAGATGGTTTCCCTGAAGGACTACGTCACGCGTATGAAGGACAGCCAGAAGCACATCTACTACATCACAGGTGGGGGTCTAACTAACCAGCACTACAAAAATATATATATATTTTTTTACATGTAAATGATTTAAAATGTTACAATGTCTCGACCACAGGAGAAACTAAAGACCAAGTTGCAAACTCCGCCTTTGTGGAGCGACTGCGCAAAGCTGGCCTGGAGGTCATCTACATGATCGAGCCCATTGACGAGTACTGCGTCCAGCAGCTGAAGGAGTTCGAAGGAAAAAACCTGGTTTCAGTGACCAAGGAAGGTCTGGAGCTGCCCGAGGACGAGGAGGAGAAGAAGAAGCAGGAGGAGAAGAAGGCTCAGTTTGAGAACCTCTGCAAAATCATGAAGGATATCTTGGAGAAGAAAGTGGAAAAAGTACGTCGATGTCAAAATTAAAGGCATAACCCGCACAACTTTATATGTTCATGTTAAAACGTTGTCTCCTTCCCTGTGCAGGTCACTGTCTCCAACCGTCTAGTGTCTTCACCCTGCTGCATCGTCACTAGCACCTACGGCTGGACGGCCAACATGGAGAGGATCATGAAGGCCCAGGCACTGAGGGACAACTCCACCATGGGATACATGGCTGCCAAGAAACACCTCGAGATCAACCCCGACCACCCCATCATGGAGACGCTGAGGCAGAAGGCAGAGGCCGACAAGAACGACAAGTCTGTGAAGGACCTGGTCATCCTCCTGTTCGAGACCGCCCTGCTGTCTTCAGGATTCACACTGGAGGACCCACAGACTCACGCCAACCGCATCTACAGGATGATCAAACTGGGTCTTGGTATGTTTTATTCACCATACTACCACAAACGTAGTCGGAAAAATACTAATAAATATACTTCCAGTGGGTTTTGGTATGTTCCAACACTGTTCTTAGCTATACAGCTTCTCACTAAATGCATCCTTGCTTCTACTGACTCTTCTCTTCTCGTCACCTTTCAGGTATTGACGAAGATGACGTGACCTCAGACGACACCACCTCTGCTCCCGCTGAGGACATGCCCCCACTTGAAGGGGACGAGGACACGTCTAGAATGGAGGAAGTGGACTAAGTCGGCCCCTCGTTCCTGCAAATGTTCCAAATTAGTTTAGTGTACAGTTCAAAGTTTAAACGTTGTAAATGAACTTGAAAAAATTCTTTTCATTCTTCCAACAGTTTTTCCTTCATTTCATTCCTGTCACTTTTTGTTCGTTGCACTATTGCAGTTGTGTTTTTGTATTTATTGACGTTCCAAAGTTTGTATTCTATTACTGTAAATATCTTGAAGTTACTATCGTTTGGAACAGTGGTGCGCATAAATAAAGATTGAACACGTTCATTTATTTTTTTTTTTTCTCGTCTGTACATACTTTTGGTTACAATCTAGCAAAGTGAGCCAACCAAAGTAAAAGTACACATTTGGAAAAACGTGGGATTGTCTGGACGTTACTAAAACATGTTTTCTACACTAAAATCAAAGTACTGTGATGATGAACACTTCACCTCAAATATATTATAATCTCATACTAGTTTAGTGGTTGGCTCCACTTGTCACGGATTGTTCATCCACTCGTATAGATTAGGAAAACGGGCACACATGACCAGATTACCATCTGAAATGCATCATTTACATTTATGAATGCTCAAAAACAGTTTTTCTATTAACTCAGACATGAACGGGACTTTATTGTCAAAATTAAAAATGTAAAAGATGGAAGATCAACTACACCAGCACTGTCCATCATGAACGAACATATAAACTTCAAGTCGAGTCAGATTTATTTATAGAGCACATTTACAACAGAAACTGTTACCAAAGTGCTTAACAAAGATAATCATCAAATAAAAAGTAGCAAGATATATTTACAGCACATGGAATAAAACTATAAAACCGAAAACAATTAGAAACAATGAAATCCTAAATCAGATCAGATGACCTTGTGTTAAATAGGAATAATAACAAAAGCATAAACAGAATCGGCATAAATGAAAAACTAGATCTAAAGCTGATCAGCCTGTGTTAAATGTCAATGAGTATAAATGTGTTTTGAGGAGAGATTTAAAAGCAGAGACTGAGGTGGCCTGTCGAATGTTGATGGGCAAATTGTTCCAAAGTTTAGGGCCCATGATTGAAAACGCTCGATCTCCTCTGAGCTTCAGCTGGTTTTTGGTACGGCCAAAAGCAGCTGGTCTGATGATCTCAAAGCCCGAGAAGGAGCATAAGGATGAAGAAGGTCAGAGAGATATAATGGTGCAAGGCCGTTAATGCACTTGAATGTCAGCAGGAGAATTTTAAAATCAACTCTGACACGTACAGGAAGCCAGTGAAGGGAGGACAGAACCGGAGTAATGTGCTCAAACCTGTGAGTTCCTGTTAAAAGCCGAGCTGCAGCATTTTGTACGAGCTGGAGACGTGAAAGTGAAGCCTGAATAATCCCAACATAAAGCGAGTTACAGTAGTCCAGTCGGGTTGTATTAAATACATGGACTAGTTTTTAAAGGTCGGATCTGGACAGAACAGACTTAAGCTTTGCTATCTGCCTTAGCTGAAAGAAGCTTTTTTGTAGAACAAAGGATCTGTTTATTAAACTTAAAGTCCGAGTCTAACACTACCCCGAGATTGGTAACCAACTGCTTTAGATGAGGCTGAAGGGAGTGCAGGTTTACAGGATCAGTGACAGTGGTAGAGCTTAGGTTAAACACAATGACCTCAGTCTTCTGATCATTAAAACTCAAGAAGTTTGCAGCCATCCAAGTCTTGATGTCATCAAGACATTTTAGCAAAAGGTGGATGGAGCAGGAACTGTTTGGTTTTAAAGGCAGATAGATCTGAGAATCATCGGCGTAACAGTGAAACGAAATACCATGTTTCCTCAGGATTGACCCCAAGGGGAGCTGATAGAGAACAGAAGGGGTCCAAGAATGGAGCCTTGTGGGACCCCACAGGAAAGAGGGACAGAAGCAGAAAAAGGATTGTCAAAGTTAACACAGAAACTCCTGTCACCCAGATACGAATGGAACCATTCTAGCGCCACCCCTGTAATCCCAACCCAGTGTTCTAGCCGTGACATAAGGATGCTGTGATCAACAGTGTCAAATGCAGCGGTAAGGTCGAGGAGGACCAGGATCACAGACTGACCAGAGTCATTCGCTAGCAGAATGTCATTAAAGACCCTAACTAAAGCTGTCTCAGTGCTGTGCAGTTGTTTAAATCCTGACTGAAAAATCTAAAAAATTCCATTTACATTCAAAAACTTGGTTAGTTGACTAAAAACTATTTTCTCCAAGATTTTAGAAAGAAATGGAAGTTTTGAGACACAAGGAAACTTGTGCTGGTTGAGGATATTAAGTGTGGGGAAAACCAGTGCCGGTCCAAGCCTCCATGGGGCCCTAAGCGAAATTTGGTTTGGGGGTCCTCTATTTCTGCTAATGCAGATTACTGCAATCCACAGTCAGATAATCTGGTCATTCACCAACCTAACAAACTCATTGCAACTCTGACAGCCCTACAGTATATGTATATATCATCTAGCAGGGGTGTCAAACTCTTTCATTTGGGGCCACATCAAGCTCATGAATGTCCTGAAAAGGCCAGACGTGGCAGAATGTATTGATAAAACTACTTCTTAACAAACTGGTAAACTATAACTTTCTCGGCATTTCATGACTACTTGTAAAAATAAATATTTTATGTTTGAGTAATTTGGCATTATAAACATAAAAACTGAGTTGATTTGACTGATAAAGTAATATTGAAGCACATAAGTGTTATCTCTAAGTTCTGTTTCTGTGGCCCTCTGAAATGGTTATGGCGGCCCGGATTTGGCCCACGGGCCTTGAGTTTGACATATGCTATATTATTATAAAAAGTAATATTATTAAAAATATTATTGTAAAAAAAAAATCACAATTTTTATAATGAAGTTGTGTGTAATAGAATCATAGAAATCATTAAAAAAAAAAAAACATTTAAGTTCCTCTTAGGGGGCCCACTAGTGGCCCTGGGGCCCTACGCAGCCGTTTATTTTGCTTATGCCTTGGGCCGGCCCTGGGGAAAAATGATGGAAGAGAGAAATGTCAGGTTTCATAAATCAAATATTGAGTTATATAAGTTCACTTACGTTCAGTGAAATATTTTCCGACGGCAGCAGTATTTCACTTTGACGTTTTTAAAAACGCCTCATCAAAATCGCAGAGGAACCACTGCCCCGATAAATCTGCGAGACTGACAGTCATTTATGAAGCACACGTGGGAAACGAGTAGGTCTGTACTGGTAGAGGAACCAGTCAAATTGTTGACAGCGATGCTTTCTGCTTCTTTTTCACGTATTAAATCAGAAGAGGAACTAAATGGCATCAGTATGGTTTATTGCACATGTACTTTGTTCGACTATAAAAGCTCATATGTGTCCAAAAACATGTAATAAGATTAAAAAGGGCACTGTCAGTTTAGCTGCTGAAAAAGTACAATAATTGTAGATTGAATGTAATCGAAGAGAAAATCAAGTTCAAGACTAATACTCCACGAGGTAATTCCACAGAGCAGCAAGGATAGCTGCTAAAAATTCGAAATTATGACTGAAATGTGTTGATCAACTAAAAAGAGCGAGAATATTGGTATAAAACACTAACAAGAACAGAATTGAATATTTGTGCACTCACACAGTTTCAAGTTATTATTAATATTATTGCTGTTTTGTTGTATACACTGTAATATTCAGATTTATTATTATTAATGTTGTTGTATTTGTTGTGACAAGTGTCAGAGTGACTTCATTAAAATAATCTGTAAATATCCAAGAAAGTTCAATCTGGTCCTCTGGACATTCAAAAAAACAAAAAACAAAACAAAGCAAAAAAAAAAATGTAGAAACGTTTCGTCTCTCATCCAAGAGACTTCCTCAGCCTGAGGAGCTGTATTCAGCTCAGTCTCTTAAATAGCACCTTCTCAGAGTGGATCAACCAGTTTGCTGCTGACAACCAAAACCAGCTGATCACATGCTCAAGAAGGACCATCAGCCTAACAATGGATCATTAGCACACTGATGGCTGTTTACTATTCACAGAGGGCTGAGTGATACTAGCAATCACAGCATTGTAAGAGGGGGACAGTTGAACCCTGAGGCCTCCACCCCTGTTTAATGATGGACGATTTCTTTTCACAAAGATGGCCTCCTTTACTCCTCTCTCAAACCATCGTTCCTCTCTATCCAGGATGTGCACATCTTCATCCTTGAAAGAGTGATCGCTGGCCTGGAGATGAGTGTAGACCGCAGAATCCTGGCCTGATGATGTTGATCTTCTGTGCTGGTCCATCCTTTTGGCCAGTGGCTGTTTAGTTTCCCCGATGTAAGACTGATCACAGCCCTCCTGACACTGAACAGCATACACAACATTACTCTGTTTGTGCCAGGGGACTGGATCTTTGGGATGAACCAGTCTTTGCCGTAATGTATTTTGGGGTTTAAAAGCCACTGGGACGTTATGTTTAGAAAATAAACGTCTCACTTTCTCTGATACTCCCTCAACATATGGAATGACCACTGGTCTGGGTCTGGGTTCCTCCTTTTCACCTGTTGGCTGACTGGAGTCCTGTTTGGGTTTCTTCTCTGCTTTCAGGAAGGCCCAGTTAGGATATCCACATTGCTCTAGAGCCTGTTTTGTGTAGGATTTCTCCTTCTGCCTGGCTCCCGAGCTAGTGGGGATGCTGTCTGCTCTGTGATACAGAGTCCTGATGACTCCTAACTTGTGCTCCAAAGGGTGATGGGAGTCTAACTGCAAATACTGGTCTGTGTGGGTGGGTTTGCGGTACACCTCAGTTTGCAAAAGTCCTCTATCAGAGACTGAGACCTCACAGTCCAAGAAAGCCAACTTGTCATTTTTTACATCTTCTCGTGTGAACTTGATGTATTTATCCACAGAGTTGATGTGGTCAGTAAAATGTTGGACTTCCTGAGATTTAATTTTAACCCAGGTGTCATCAACATACCTGAACCAATGACTTGGTGGTGTCCCTGAAAAGGACGTCAAGGCTCTCTTTTCTACCTCCTCCATGTACAGGTTGGCAACAATAGGAGAAACTGGAGACCCCATAGCACACCCATGTTTCTGCCTATAATATTGCTCCCCATATGTGAAGTAGGTTGACTGCAGGCACAGTTTCAAGAGTTGACCCAGTTGTTCTGTGGAAAGCGTGGTCCTGCTGCTCAGAGTGGTGTCTGATTTTAATCTTAAACTGACCACCTCTACTGCATCATCAACAGGAATGCACGTAAAGAGTGATGTGACATCAAAAGAGACCATTGTTTCATGAGTCTCCATGATGACATCCCTCACCTTGTCCACAAAGTCCATGGTGTTCTGTATGTGGTGTTCTGAGCTGCCAACTAATCTGTAAATACATTTGGAATAGGGCTTCAAACTGGAGTGGGAGGCATTTCTCGCTGTCACCAGCAGGGGGCGCGCTCACACACGGCTCAGCGACACAGGTGTCAGCTGACAGACAGCAGCCAATCAGAGAGCGGGTACAGCCTGAACCGCCTTGTAGTGTGGTGCCCGGAGAGTTGTCAAGGTTTTGGTTGTAGAGAAGGAGGCAAGGGCGGCTAAGGTAGTAAAATGCCGAATAAACCTAAAAAAGACAAGGTGAGTTTGAATATTGCCAAGCGGTGGTGAATTATATTGACAAACACAGCGCATATCGATACGTTTTAGCTACTATTAGCTCAGTGTTCAATAATATTAATGTTAGCCAGGCAGCAATCCTGGCTAGCTAACCGCTATCAACATTAGCAGCAGGTATCTCGCGCTGCTTTATTACAAATACAGGACCGTTAACTGGACGTGAGATACTCTGCACTTCTAATGGGCAGGCTTTCCTTATTGTTTGAACCTTATTTACGCGTAGTACATTTTAGCTTTCAAATATATGATGCATGTTTGAGTAATAAGTAACGACAGCGAGTAGCGTTCGTGTATCGCAAGTGGGTTCGCAGATTTGGCATTTGTGCAACTTTCACCGGGTCTGCTTGTGTTAGCTCATTCGCTAACATCAACCCAACTGCATCTTTCTGTTCTGTTCCAGGACTCTTCCAAGTCTGGCAAAGGGAAGGGAGGGGGACAGGAGAATTCAGAGCATGAGGTAAATAAATCCGAGCACTGTTGACTCTGATGATTCATATTAGTTTCTATGAAATTGGGCAGTGCAATTGGTGAATCAGTTTGAAAAGAGACCTTCATACCAGCTAATATGCACGAGGAAAGATTGTTTACAGTGGGGAAATTGAAGATCTTCATATAGCAAGCTGATTTTTGAGCACTTGAAGACGTTTTTTCCTCTTAACATGAAAGCAAGTTTCACTTGCATTCGCACATCAGAAATAAAGTACATTGGTTTCTTCTGTTTATGGCGTAATGTAAGTTATAACCCGTGTTATAAATAGGCTTTGTCTGCTCCATCATTCTGACAGTGAGAACCAAAATACCTCAATTTCACAGTATTGCAGTGTTGTGATCACACCTCTAATGTGCAATTCTACAATATCCGGGGAAGCGAAAAATGAGCGCAACAATGAAAGAAAATATTAGAATTATAAATAAATAAGAGCGTTAATTAGTGTTTGCATTTAGGTTAAATATTCCTTATTATATTTACCAATGTGCTTTTCTCTTTAAACGTTCCCTTTTATCTCTGATTTTAGTCATTGCAGTTTTCTCCACCTTCCTTCATGAAGCTGTTAAACCAAGCTGTAATGCAATATATAAATGTTATGCAACAGTACTTTTTATGTTAAACTCTGTAACCAGTAGGTAGGAAGTGGGAGTAAAATGAAGCACCAAATCAAAGACTTTGCACCGAACATTTCTTTGGTAGTAACTTCCTTTTAGTCACTCTCAGTCCAGCTTGGTAGAAGCCTTGCTGTACGGTGTTTTTCCACCTATATTAGAGTTACAAGTTTAAATCTTAGCTTTAATTCATTGTTTGCACTTTAGCTAGCACCAGGAGAATCATGAACAAACCCCAAGTTAAATTTGATTGTGAATGCGTCGTGATTTTAATTAGCAAGTGAATCTGCTGAGTTCATCTGAACTGTTTTAAGACAATTGATTAGTTAAAGAATGACTGAAAACTCTTTGATTTGATTTCAGTACATATTCAAAGTCATTACAAAAGCAGTTTGTTGACATGGTTAAATAAAAAATTTTATCCGTAGGCAAAATGTCGGTATGCAGCAGGCTTGAATCTGACCTTTTATAGGACCCATAATCAGTTTATTCAACATGTTGGGGCAGGTTGTCAAAACTAGTCTGATGCTGTTATTTATGTCTGGTATGACAACTGTTGGGCTGCTCGCTGAGTATAATCTAGTTTCTCTCTTAACCAGATTACCATATTTGACCTGTCAGGGATGCTCTAACATTAAAATACAAACGAGCAGCTGTCAGTAAAAACACTCAAACATCTACTCTTCATTTTATATTCTGCTTAAGGCAAAACCCTGAGAATTGTAAATAAAATGTTATTCCCTAAACAAGTTTTTTCCTCTTTGTTGACCCACTGGAAAATAAGTTTTCATGTTAATAATGTTAACATCTCACCAACCTCTTTCTGAAGTTTATGTATGAGCAGACTGATTAAAAACTTCAGTCAAATGAAAATGTTTGTGCTACAAGCTGGGGACGCTTTACTGTAATGGTAAATGAACTGTACTTACACTGCCTGGCCCAAAAAAAAGTTGCTACCAAAAAAATAAGGTCACACTAATATTTTGTTGGAACGCCTTTAGCTTTGATGACAGCAGCATTCACTGAGGCATTGTTTCAATAAGCTTCTGTAATGTCACAAGATCTATTTCCATCCAGTGTTGCATTAATCTTTCACCAAGATCTTGCATTGATGACTAGGCACTAGGTATGATGGGTGCATCACTTCACCTGCCTCTCTTCTTACCCTGATGCACCCATCACTCTGGAACAGGGTAAATCTGGACTCATCAGACCACATGACCTTCTTCCATTGCTCCAGAGTCCAATCTTTATGCTCCCTAGCAAACTGAAGCCATTTTTCCAGTTAGCATCACTGATTAGTGGTTTTCTTAAGGCTACACAGCTTCTCAGTCCCAATCCCTTGAGTTCCCTTCACATTGTGCATGTGGAAATGCTCTTACTTTCACTATTAAACCTAGCCCTGAGTGCTACTGTTGTTTTTCTTCAATTTTTTCACCAAACATTTAAATGATCACGATCATTCAGGATTTTTTTCCGGCCACATTTCTTCCTCGAAGACGATGGGTCCCCACTATCCTTCCAGTTTTTAAAAATGTGTTTGACAGTTCTTAACCCAGTTTTAATAGTTTCTACAATCTCCTTAGATGTTTTCTCTGCTTGATGCCAATGATTTGACCCTTCTCAAACTGACTGACATCTTTTCCACGACCACGCCATGTGTCTTTAAACATGGTTGTTTAAGAAATGAGAAGCAACTCGTTGCACCAGTTGGGGTTAAATAACTTGTTGCCAGATGAAAGATAATCGCCCATGCAGTAATTATCCAATAGGAGGCTCGTACCTATTTGCTTAGTTAAATCCAGGTGGCAACTTATTTTTTTGGCCAGGCAATGTATATAGCACCTTTCTATCTACTCAAAGTGCAATCTGTGCCCTCATTTACTCATTCGTACAGCACTCTATATCTACTATATCTCTACAAAGAATAATCATTGCTTTTAGAACATTCATACACTGATGGGACACACATCGGAGGCAATGAGGGGTTCAGTGTCTTGCCCAGAGACACGTCAGCCTGCGACTGCTGGTGGAATCGAATCCCAACTCTCCCATTGGGGGATGACTGCTCTAACCACTCGGCCACAGTGTCCCAGCTGTAAAGGATATTGATATGTAGGAAGTCTTCATTTGTTGTGTTTCAAATAAGTACAATGTTACCTAGAAAATCCAACCTTCCAAACACAAATGTTAATTCCAGTCTTCGTAGCAGATTAATACATTATCCAGTAACAAACGTCACCTCGGTTTCAGCTTTTACTCCTCTATTACGTGGCTTAGTTGCTGGCTACATGCAGTGGATTTTCCTCAAGAGGCTTTTCACACAATATCCACCTCTGTTCATTTTAGTTCTGTGCCACTAATGTGGGTTTTTCCTCTCGTTTCAGCAGAGTTCAAACAGGAAGACGAACAACAGCATTCCTCCCACCACTCAGCTGCTAAAGGGGAAGCAGCCAGGTTCTCAGACACCTGTCAAAAAGGACAAGCGGCAGAGCTCCTCTCGCTTCAGCTTGAGCAACAACAGGGAGCTGCAGAAACTGCCAGCTTTCAAAGGTATGCACCTGTGCAACTATCAGAAATCTCCTGACACACTCTTATGTGGCTCTATGTTTAAAACTTTTATCTTCAAAATTCAAGTGTTTATGTTCCTCTTCTGACTGTTAATTTTTTTTTTTTGTTGGAGACATGGCCAGAAAAAAGCTTTAAATAGAATTACCGTACCTGATTGTCAATCAAAATAAAGTATTTTCCTTTTATGCAGGTGGTTGTTGGATTTAATATATATGTTAGTCTAAGCCTCACAACGTCTGTGTGGATAGTTATTACTCATTCTTTTCCCTCTTGCATGTTCATAACCGTTCCTTCTGCATCATCCTGACTAATATTAAGCTCAGCATGATGTTATGCAATACGTGGAAACAGACAGAGGACATACACGGCATGGATTTTGTGCTGGATTTAACCCAAGTTTCTATATTTAGTAGTAATCCGGGTGATAAAGTTTTGATTCTGTGGTTTGTGCATTTCAGTGTTGATAGTGGTTTGATTAAAAAAAAAACATTTGCTAACTACACCACTGGTGGTTATTTAATTTTTTGTTATCTCCTGAACTGTAAAAATGTGTTTTGATATGTAGCGTAATATAATCACTTAGTTAACACTCGGCACCGGCTAGAAAAGTAAGGAGTGGACAGAGCCATACGGCCCTTTGGGCATATTGTGTGCATGTTTCTTTTTATGTATGCATGATTACACACATCTGTTCGGTCCACAGTCTTTCCCAACGGTTTATAAATCTCACTTGGTGGTGTGGTTAAAACAAATTTATGAAGCTTTTATGTTGCTGATAAGCTGAATGATTAACAGATAGGGTTTGATTCTTGATACGATGCAATCTGTAATCTGTTTTTTTGTTATGCGTAAATATGTAAGAAGAAAACGTCAGCAAGAACAGTAGTTCATGTAAAAGATGCCTTTTAAATATTTTGTATGTAATAAAGTGATTTACCTGGAATTGTAAAAGTTTTTAGTGTTTCAGAAACTGATAGTTGAATGTACATCTACGGCTAATTTCCTTTTAGAGTCCACCTAATTGCCGATGGCTGCCAGCTGACCCTAAAACACAAAAATGTCTCGAACTTAGTCAGATTTACAGATATTGTGCTAAAATTAGCAGCAGTTTGTAACTGAGAGTCATTTTTAACACATTGAGCTCAACATCTTGACACCTAGCACATGAAATTGTGCATGATGTCATTGCCCAAAACGGCTTTATTTGTGTCAACCCTCAGAGATCTGAGTCTAAAACTTTGCTACGAAAAGTGGGTGGTGTTATTCATAGGTCTGTCACAATAAACAAAAAATCAATTAATCGCGTGATAAATGAAAATTATCGACCTCATTTTCATTTATCGGCTTTATCTTTTCTTCGTGTCTCTGGACACTGGATGACAAAAGGCTCGACTCCGGTGCTCTTCACTGACCCCTCCCTTTCTCTTTTCTTTTTAAAATCCATTTAAAACGTTTTTGGATAGTTAAAAGCGGCTAAGCTGAGAAGCTAAGCTATGAGCTAAGCTAACAGGCCGACCTCGGGAAAAACCTCCATCTTGTCGAAGCTTCAGAATTCACGGTTGAAACTCGTGCCTTCGTGTAAAAAGTTGTTTTTCTCTGCAAAAAGAAGCTGAGAACTTGTTTACTGATTTTTTTTAATTATTATTAAGGTTTGTGTGAAAAATGCTATGCTAAAGAGCTAAAACCAAACTGAGCATCCGCCATTTTGAGAACCGATAAACAGGAAGGAGAGACAGCCCATGTCACGTCAATGGGCCTCCCTCTCATTTTTCTTTAAAAAAAAAATGTCTCACTCCCTCACGGTCCTATACTGCCATCTTGTGTTCAAAAACGGTACTACACACAAATTAACCAACATTTCTATATTACTAATTATTGTCAAATTTCAAACAATATCATCGTTTATCGCAATAATTTCTGAGACAATGAATCGCCCAGCAAAGTTTGTTATCGTGACAGGCCTATTGAGCGTGACATCGTGCCATAGTGCATGAGATTGTGCATGATGTCAGAGTTTGACCAAAACGGCTCTATTTGTGTCAACCCTCAGAGTAAGATGATCCGAGTCTAAAGCTTTGCTATGAAAGGTGGGTGGTGTTATTCACTCCTTCAGTGAATATTTGCAGCAGTATTGATGCCTTTATTGAGTGACTGTAAGTTGAAGTGTAGTAATGGAACGGAATGTCTGATCACTGCCATGAACAACGACACTTCACTACTGAAGCGGCTCTACACGATGAAAAAGCTTCTTCTGCGCAGAGACTTGCCTGAGAGTTGAGTCATGAGTAACTTTATTAGTAGTAGTTATTGCGTACAATAGTCTATTCATTTGATTAAAACCCTAAAAAATAAATTCATCAGTGGAGTTGACTTTCATTAAAATAAATTCAATTTTTGCGTCTGTTAGCGGTTTGTCGTGTGCTGTCACAAAACCAGTAAGAAACTTAATTTCAGCTGCCCACATCTCAGTGTGAGCTTTGACAGCATTCAGCCAAACGTTATCCCAGAATTATCATTTAGTCCTATCTAAACGGGCTCCTCACTCGGTTTGTTTCCATCCAGGCATGTTCCCCACCTCTGATGGAAACATATGTCCATGTGCCTGTCCTGCAGAGACGCACGGTCCAGGCAGACTAAAAGAGACCTCTCTTATTCACATCAACTTGCCCCAGAGCTCTGTATTCATTCTGTGACTACAATATGTACCGTCTTAGCTTCTGCATTCAGTTTAACATCTAAACTGATTTCTGTTGGGATTGTTCTGTTACACAAATCAGATCATTTGTGTTTTGTTAGAAACCATCTGACTGCAGCAGGTTAAAGATGACTAACCTGCAAGTGTCCTTATTTTGTCTAATTTTAGCTGTTAATGTGTTTGTCAAAAAGGTCATGACAACAGTTTTTGTATTTATTCATTTATTTAGTGATTCCTGCTTGCATCCGCTTGGCGCCACCTTCTGGTTAAAATATAACATTTTGGGTGAATATAGATTGATTAATTCTTGTATTTAATGCAGATAGAGAAATTATATAAAAGGGACTATGACTTTTTTTTTACTTGAATTTTTATTGTTTAGTTAAGAGTAAATAATTATAATCAGATGTATATAAGTGTAATTGTCTCAGTTTTATCACAACCCACCTTTTTCTGTATTTAAAAAAAAACAAGTCAAATATGATTCTAACTTTTAAGGAGGATTGCCTAAAATGTTAAATCTTGAGGATTAATTGGTAGTTTTATAAAGTGACTTTGTTTACTTTAAAAGTGTTAAAGATTTCAAAACTAAGTTCTGAGTCCAAAAAACTGAATTTGAATTTAGCCCCTAGTTCCTTAAAAGCCATGAAAACAGGAAGAATAAATAAATAAATATCATATTTGGCAATATAACGTATTTGAAATATGTTTTATTGCCTGTAACTATAATTAAGTTTGCCACTAAACGTCACAACCGTAAAATGGAAAACATTTTTTAGAACATTTAATCTGTAAATTAATAATTTTGTCATTTAAAAAGCGACGCCACAGTCGTGTTTATATTATGTTATGTTATGATGTAAGCATTAAGTGTAGAACCACTAGACTGAGGAACAGCTTCTACCCTGAAGCTGTTAGACTCATGAATTCCTAACCAGGAAAATTACTGTAATGACACTTTAATTGGCAATATGTCATTTTATCTGTGCTGCTGATTATCCATGCTGCTGATCTCTTGCCTTTAAGCTGCTGTATTCATACCCATCTGCTCACAACAGACTCATGTTCAGGCTGCTGTTTAATATACCATATTATTTTACATTATTGTTCAGTGTCTAGCTTAGATCCTTATTTACCGTTTCTTTTTATACTTTATACTTTAGATATTTTTGGGTTTAACTGGGACCTTGAGTACACAATCTTTCCACCTCATGTACCACATGTGATGAGAATGACAGTAATCACTAAATAAACCTTGAACCTTATACTGTAGCTTATTAATGAATAGTTTGTAGAAAATCTGTTTTTTTCTTAATAATTCTCTGAAATAGATTGTGTATGTTCATATTATCAAAAAGTAAATTTATAGCTTATTTTAAATAGTTGTTTTGGGCCACAGGAGTGTAGCACAAGTGTTTTTTTTTTTTCAATAATGCAACAGTTTTAGTGTCTGTGTTTAATATGATTGTTACTGAATTTGTTTTGTTTACAGCTGTTTACAAGCTTTAAAAACAAGGTTCACGGTGACTTTGTCATTCGCATCACATATGGTACATGAGGTGGAATGAAATTGTGTACTCAAGGCCTCAGTTACATCCAAAAAGTATAAAAAGGAAACTGTATAGAAGGATGTAAGATATATGCTCAACAATAATAATATAGTATAATATGGTTTATTAAACAAGCGCTAGATGCTGGTGTAGTTTGAGTTGATGTATAAATAATTCCTTCAAATTTTTTTTGACAAATCATCTTTTTTTTCTTTCTCAGAGTGCCAGTAGAGATTACAGTAATTCTCATTTTTCAGCTCTACGTTGTTTGCTAAAAGCCGATTCCCTTTGGTGCGTTCTAATTTACAATATCTGTGTAAAACATCAAAATACTTGCAACGTTTTGGTTTATACCTGTTCTCCTACTGTAATTTCAGCAGAGGGTCCGAGCGTCGCGCACACTTTCTATTTAAACTTGTCATTACTAGTTAGAATGCCTACTTCGTGTTGGAGTTTGAATCGATGCGATGTTCTGCTTAAGAAAAAAAAAAACATTAAGTACAACCACAAAGAAAACTGTCCTCAGCTGTGTTCATCTCTAAATAGACCCGAGCCTTGAGCGTATCTGAAAGATCGTGACACTGCAGATCAGCAGGCCTGTAAACGAGCCACTTATCTGTGTATTTTAGGCCCCTTCAGCTGTTATCAATGCGCTAAAGCTGTGCAAGCAAGGACACACGTCCCATTCTGAACAGACTCGTGTTGTCTTTACTGTGATTCACACCTACAAGTAGCAC